GAATGCCGAAAATATGCAATCATTAGGGTATAAAAATAAATCATTCTGTATGGACAGAAACTGATTTTACGAAGAGTAGGTTTGCATGTAACTCCGCCTGTTGCTCTTATAGGGTTACTGCCGGTCCCAAGCCCGGATAAAGAAGGAGGGTTGGGCATGGGGTTAGCGTCCCCATCTCGTAGAAAACTAAATCACTAAAAAAACGCTTACCAGAAAAAATAATCCAAACCATTTTAACTCTGCCCTGGGAGTTAGAAGGTCTTCATTTAGAAGAATTATGACGCTTCATGGTGAAAGCCGAGCTCCTTCGGAAGCCACGAGGCCGATGCCCCTTCTAACAACTAGAGCAAAACTTTTTATAGGTACATGGAACGTTCGAACAATGTGGGAAACCGGGAAAACCGGTCAAATAGCAACGGAAATGAGGAGATACAACTTGGCAGTACTGGGAATCAGCGAAACTCTTTGGATCCAAGCTGGACAACAAAGGCTAAATACGGGAGAGATGCTGCTATACTCCAGTCACGAAGAGGAAAATGCTCCACACACTCAGGGAGTCGCTCTTATGCTATCCAAAGTAGCACGAAATGCACTTGTAGGATGAGAATCTCACGGATCCAGCATCATCAAAGCATCATTCAAAACAAAGAAGGAGGGGATCTTAATGAATACTATCCAATGTTATACACCCACCAATGATAGCAACGACGACATTAAAGATCAGTTCTACGAGCGGCTACAGTCAATCATTGAGAAATGCCCAAGGAAGGACCTAACTATTCTGATGGGAGATCTAAATGCCAAAGTCGGAATAGACAACACTGGATATGAAGATATCATGAGACGACATGGACTGGGAGAAAGAAACGAAAATGGAGAAAGATTTGCAAATCTATGCGCATTCAACAAATTGGTCATAGGAGGCACAATATTTCCACACAAGCGTATACACAAGGCTACATGGATCTCACCGGACCACACTACAGAGAACCAAATAGATCATATTTGCATCAACAAAAAATTCCGAAGGACAATGGAAGATGTGAGAACCAGGAGAGGTGCTGACGTAGCTTCAGATCACCACCTAGTTGTAGCCAATTTGAAACTGAAGCTAAAAAAGAACTGGACAAGTGGACAAACAGCAATACAAAGGTTCAATACAGCCTTCCTTCGAGATACTGTCAAACTCAATGAATTCAAGATAGCTCTCAACAACAGGTTTCAAGCCTTACGAGATCTACTGAAAGAAGAAGAAACTAGTATGGAGGACAACTGGAAAGGCATCAAGGAAGCATTAACTTCAACGTGTCAAGAGGTTCTCGGTCTAAAGAAATACCATCATAAGGAATGGAGCTCTACAGAAACAGTGGACAAGATCAAAGAAAGGAAGAACAAGAAGGCAGCAATAAACAACAGCCGAACACGAGCAGAGAAAGTCCAAGCACAAGCTGAATACATAGAAGCAAACAAACAAGTGAAGAGGAGCATTAGAGCCGACAAGAAGAAATACGTTGAAGAACTAGCAACGACGGCAGAAAAAGCTGCTAGAGAAGGAAACATGAAACAGCTTTACGATACAACGAAGAAACTATCAGGGAAATACAGTAAACCAGAGAGGCCAGTCAAAGACAAAGAAGGCAAGCCAATCACCGAAATTCAACAACAGCGTAACAGATGGGTAGAGTACTTCGAGGAACTCCTGAATAGGCCGGCTCCAAAGAATCCACCGGACTTTGAAGCAGCACACATAGATCTTCCTATAGATGTCAACCCACCAACGACGGAAGAAATTAGAATGGCCGTCAGACAAATCAAGAACGGGAAAGCAGCAGGACCCGACAACATACCAGCTGAAGCACTGAAATCAGACATCGAAGCAACCACAAGCATGCTTTATCTTCTATTCAAAAAGATTTGGGAGGAGGAACAAGTGCCAATGGACTGGAAAGAAGGACACCTCGCCAAGATTCCAAAGAAAGGAGATCTGAGCAAATGTGAAAACTACAGAGGCATTACACTACTGTCAATACCAGGGAAAGTCTTCAACAGAGTGTTGCGGAACCGGATGAAGGATGCAGTAGACGCCCAACTTCGAGATCAACAAGCTGGATTCCGTAAGGATCAGTCGTGCACAGACCAAATTGCAACACTACGGATCATCGTCGAACAATCAGTTGAGTGGAACTCATCACTATACATCAACTTCATTGATTATGAAAAGGCATTCGACAGTGTAGATAGGAGGACATTATGGAAACTTCTTCGACACTACGGAGTTCCTGAGAAGATTGTCAATATTATCCGGAACTCATAAGATGGACTGCGATGCAAAGTCGTGCATGGAGGACAGCTGACAGATGCATTCCAAGTGAGGACCGGAGTCACACAAGGCTGTTTACTCTCTCCCTTTCTCTTTCTTCTGGTGGTCGACTGAATTATGAAGACCTCGACATCTGAAGGAAAACACGGAATACAATGGACAGCTCAGAACCAATTAGACGATTTGGACTTCGCAGATGACCTAGCCCTCCTATCACGTACACACGAACAGATGCAGATGAAGACATCCAGTGTAGCAGCAGTCTCTGCATCAGTAGGCCACAGCATACACAAAGGGAAAACCAAGGTCCTCAAATTCAAAGCGGAAAACACCAATCCAATCACTCTTGATGGCGCAACTCTGGAAGATGTAGAGTCCTTCACATACCTAGGAAGCATCATCGATGAACAAGGAGGTTCAGATGCAGACGTAAAGGCAAGGATCGGCAAAGCAAGGGTCTCATTCCTACAATTGAAGAACATATGGGACTCAAAACAACTTTTAACCAATATCAAAGTGAGAATTTTCAATACCAACATCAAGGCAATTCTACTGTATGAAGCTGAAACTTGGAAAACTACAACAACCACCATCAAGAAGGTACAAGTATTTATAAATAGCTGTCTACGCAAGATACTCAACATCCATTGGCCGGATACCATCAGCAATAGCCTTCTGTGGGAGAGAACAAACCAACTTCCAGATGAAGAAGAAATTAGAAAAAGACGATGGAAATGGATAGGACATACATTACGCAAATCGTCAAACAGCATCACGAGGCATCAAGCCCTAACTTGGAATCCCGAAGGGAAGCGAAAAAGAGGAAGGCCAAAGAACACATTACGTCGGATGATAGAAGCAGATATGAAAAGGATGAATAACAACTGGAAGGAGCTGTAAAAGATTGCCCAGGACAAGGTTGGATGGAGAATGCTGGTGAGCGGCCTATGCTCCTTCACGAGGAGTAACTGGCGTAAGTAAGTAAGTAAGTAAGGTTTGTATGTGTTGGAATCCTGCCAGAATATATAATTTTTGTCAATCTCTTTCTATCTCTCTTTATATATATGTATATATATAATTAGGTGACCAAGATTATCTGCACGAAAACTGGGATAAACTAGTTTAATGAAATCTGGCTACCTACTTACAAAAATAATACAATCAGTAAAATTATTTTTTACATGTAAATCAAACATATCAGTAGTTTTCTTCAACGTTGAATGAATGATATACAGCTCAATTGATTGTTAAATAGTTATTTGTGCTGATGAAAAAATGGGAGATTTACAGTCTCTCGTTATCTTTTTTATTGTCAGACCATTGTTCAAGCGAATCTGAATAATTCTTTTGTCAACACGATTTTAACAAATCATGAAACGATGAGACAGTAGATATCTTTGAATTTCAAGGACTCTTAGGGATACTGATAAAAACTAAGATGGAACAAATTGTTTGTCGCAAGCGGAGAATATTATGAAGGACGCAAGGTTTATTTATCTTAAATTATGTGTAATAAAATTTTCATGATCTCATTTCTCATAATAATTAGAGAAAGGGGCTTACAAATATGATAAAATAGGAGCTATTCTCTTATTTGTAATAACTGATGACGGATATCTAAGACGATGTTTCTTTCCCAATTTATAACAAATCTTCAAAAGTAGTGTATATATTGTTTTATCGCCGAAACAAAAGAATATAAAACTTTTTCTAAATTGCAATTTACACCATCGATTTCTCTTCTCTTCAATATTATTCTTAGACAAGCACCACTTGATGTTAGTTCAAATCATCGAGAAACAAATCGATCCTTTTAAGAGTAAAGTGGTGTTATGCTGACGAGCATTATCATATAAAAACGTAAACCCAATATTGTCTACCAACTTTTACCGGCCATATAACACTAAACGAACTATGTTGTCGTACTAAGCTATTTAGATTAACAACTACACTGGAAAGCTGACTGATAAAAATACTGATTGTCACTTCCAAGTAGATAAAGTGGCAGAAGAAGAGTTTTTCATTTTAAAAATTTATGTCACTGACTGATTTTAGTTCGGCAACTGGTTAAAACCAGAAAACAGTGGATAGCTATTTCATCCTAGTATGGGACTCCACAGCAAATCGCATGCAAGACTCCATTATGAGTGAAGTTCAGGATAAAAAGAGCTTTACAGTGTTTCCTGGTTTGTAATAGTTGTCTAACTTTAATCAGTCCATTATATAGAACTATTAATTAAAAAATCTCTGCGACTCTCTAAAACAACAAGATATGAAAGTATCACATCCTACTTTTCCATTTCTAACATGAACATCAAGTTGTAATAACACGCACAACAGACTAATAACAAAAATTGACAGTTTAAAACTACAGGGTCAAATTATCACTGTATTCAGTTATCTAGTAGTTTCAATATCGTCCTCCCATCCCAAAAATACCTATGATTTGTTATAATATAATTTAAATAAGCCACGAGTATTTTAAAAAATGTGGAGAACCAACGAACAACACAAATTATCAAAATCAGAAGCATATAATTGAAACATGCAAAATAAAGACTGAACTAAACACCGAAGAAACATGAGGGAAGCGATCTGAGCAATAACAGTAACAAATGAAAGCGAGGCAAATACAGAGAAATAAACACTTTCTCTCTCATGCACACTCTTTCACTCCTCGTCAAAGCCCGCCAACTCGAACGGCAGATTGTAAGTTCAGAAATAAAAACTAAAAAAAATAGAAAGAGAAGAACGAACACATTTTTGCTATGAAAACATAAATAACACAGGTGATCAAAAACAAAGATGTACAATTTGTGTAGTTTTAACTAACTAATCAAAGAAAGGAAACCAAAATCAAGGATAAACGTAGGAAGAAGAAAGGTGAGATTATTTTCTGTTTCCCCCTTAGTTTTTTTACTTCGTGTGCATTTTACTATCCACTAATTATTTTCTAATTTCTCAGCTTTTATTTTCTCATCATTTAGATAATTGTGTCATTCGAACATTCGTTTTCTCTAGAAAAATTCTTTTTTTTCACACAAAAGTTCATTTCTGTTTTTCCCTGTCTGTGTGTATTTGTGTCTACAAGATTTGGTTACAACTATATAATTAACTGAAGTCATCTTATTTCATTTTTTCTGATAAGCATGCTTGTACATGTGTAGTACATACATACTTTATGGTGAATTGTTTGTACTATTTTCAACTTATGATTGACGTGATTAATGTTACAATGTATAAAAGCACTACCTACAAACACGCGCATGTACATAAACAAACGCAAACTCATTGAACCGATGTCTATGTAGTAAACTTTAAGAGTTGTCTTTTGTAAAAAATAAAAATAAAATTGAAGTAAACAACTGTGTTAGCTAGAAGGGAAAGTCATAACAATAACGAAACACAGTGGAATAATTTCAAACAGCTGTTATTCTTCTGTAAATTCTTTTTTTTCATGACTTAAAATAATTGGAATTCAACGTAAAAATGTTATAAAATGTAAAACTCACAAAAACTAATTTTTCTCTGAGTATACCTAACTAACGAAATTAATACATAATTTCATGATTTGAAAACGAGATTTTATCATAAATTGTTGCAAACTGCTGTCGAGGTTGTTGAATACCAACAAATGTTTTTTTTCTAGTTTTGAACGTCATCGATAATTTTCAGTCTGTGTTGTTTTCTCTGAGTTGAGTGATTTAATAGCAATGGTTTCACTGTCTTTCTGGACAACATTATTCGCTTCCTGTAGAAGTGAACAAGCACTGAGTCACCCAGTTCTGATGGTCTTCTTTGTATAAAAGTTATTTTAAGAGGTTCAGTCAACTTTATTTGTCCTTGTATTCCTATCGATCGTTTTTATTCAGTTGTTGTCTGGTCACGTGATTAATTGTGCATTTTTATAGGTAGAAAATAGGGTTTGTGTTCATATGTCTATTGATTGCGGATCGACAGATAATCAACGGTACAATTTTAAACGGTTCATGTTGGATTAACAAACAAAACTATCTGGTCTTCGGATAAGTGAGATGATTCTGCGTTGCTTAATAATTATTCTCAGATGATATACATTTAGTGTATTGTAAAGTATTTGTATTTTAAAGCCAACTTATTAGAGAAAAAAAACAAATTATATCTAGAGACTGAAAAATAACGTTTAGGATAAAAACCAGAAGAAAAAAGCAATCTGTCTCATGTTTATTATTCAAAGAATATTTTTACACAATAAATTTAACAACTCATGTACTACCAGTACGAATGCTTGCATAATACAAAGGTCCATGTAAGCGCACAATATAAAAAGGTCAATCAACACAGACGTAGATAAAAGGAACTGAATGCTTGATTTTTGTGGAAATATATATATATATATATATATATATATATATATATATATATATATATATATATATATATATATATATATATATATATATATATATATATATATATATATATATATTATCATAAAAGCGAAAACATAAATTTTCCATTAACGATACACTATTTCTCGATTTATAATCATAATCTGCTTAAAATAATTATTTTTAAACATAGAATGATTATTAATGTTTTATTGTGAAAAGTAATAATTTTTAGTGAATTATTTTTTTAATGAGTTAGGATAAGATAGAATAAGGTAGGATATGTAGGGTAATACTGCACCGTATCCTTTTGTTTTAAAATGGTTGGCATTAAGGAGGAAAAATTGATACATAAAAGTGTAGTTTAATAGGTCATGAATCATAATTGTCTTTTATTTTCTTCCGCTATTTTCTGTGTGGATGAATACTTTCTATTTTTTCGTGGGTAAGACTAAACTTAGCTATAAGGTAATGTTTAATGATTATTGTGGATACTAATTAATTTACTTTTACTTTTCTCCACTCATTTTCTATGATTCACCAGTCTAATGGAGTTGTTTTATTATTTTAATGAACAGCTATGTCTTAGGTGGATTAACGGTCATTCAGTCACTACTTTAAATTTCATTCATACGTTTATATTCTTTTGATTCAGGTATCTTGGTTGAGTAATATACGAATAGTCATCGCCCATTGTTCAATTGAAAATTCAATCAGCTAGATATTATTGTATTTTAACTGTGTTTTGTGAATATTTTTATTAAAGACGAGAAGGTTTCATTTGAAGTATTTTCACCGTCATAATTGTTCATGGTGGGATATAGAAAAGGTATTTATTCTTAAAAAATGTTACTCGCTTGGTACACAATCTATAAGTGTTAAAAATGATCCGACATACCATATATGTTGTTTAGTTTAGATAAGAGGATTTACTGAATTACTGACAGAATAATAATCCATGATTACTCGATCACGTTAGGCAACCTTTAACATCAAAACTACTGAGCCGGCATCCAACCTACTGAATGTCCTAATTCAGATAATCCACGAAATTCAGCGACAAATCCAATATTAATTTCAGCCAGTTAATATCTCACAAACGACAAAGTTGAATTACACTGGTCACTACTCAGTACAACACCGAGAAATATATCTTGAATCCAGTCACTAGTGATCATAACACCATGATGATGATAACGATGATAATGATGATGATGATGATGATGATGATGATGATGATGATGATGATGATGATGATGATGATGATGATGATGATGATGATGATGATGATGATGATGATGATGATGATGATGATGATGATGATGATGATGATGATGATGATGATGATGATGATGATGATGATGATGATGATGATGATGATGATGATGATGATGATGATGATGATGATGATGATGATGATGATGATGATGATGATGATGATGATGATGATGATGATGATGATGATGATGATGATGATGATGATGATGATGATGATGATGATGATGATGATGATGATGATGATGATGATGATGATGATGATGATGATGATGATGATGATGATGATGATGATGATGATGATGATGATGATGATGATGATGATGATGATGATGATGATGATGATGATGATGATGATGATGATGATGATGATGATGATGATGATGATGATGATGATGATGATGATGATGATGATGATGATGATGATGATGATGATGATGATGATGATGATGATGATGATGATGATGATGATGATGATGATGATGATGATGATGATGATGATGATGATGATGATGATGATGATGATGATGATGATGATGATGATGATGATGATGATGATGATGATGATGATGATGATGATGATGATGATGATGATGATGATGATGATGATGATGATGATGATGATGATGATGATGATGATGATGATGATGATGATGATGATGATGATGATGATGATGATAATTATCGTGACTGAAACAATTTGTGTTAGTTGTTTACGTTTGATGGTTGGAATCTCTGAATTTTACGCATTCCTCATGTGTTGCCTGCTGTGAGTATTCGGCTGTCCAATGATTCCAGCTTTTCCGTGTTGATCTTGGTTTTATAATCCCACGATCTCAACTTATAAAATTACTGGAATCTCCATTATATCCATTCTCGTTTTCACCATCAACTTCATCATCGTATGCTCACTGGTGACTGGCTTCCAGATTTATTTCTCGGTGTTCTTTTGAGAAAGGATGTCCAGTGGAATCCAACCCTGTCTTTTGTGAGATTATTAACTGACTGAAGATAATGTTGGATGTGTCGCTGAATTTCGTTTATTTACTGAATTTGTACATTAACACGGTTGGACGCCGGCTCAGTTGTGTTGGTAGTAGATGCTATGTTTGTAATCGATTACGTGTTCACCTAAACAGCGAAGAAATCGAAGAATTGTCACTAAATGCCAATAAACTAACTATTCTGTTACGTCGCAGACTCGCTTACTAGAGAGATCATTAGAATTCCGAGTGGAGAATTATATTTCACAAAAAAGTCAGATGCCCGCGCGATAACAAGTGACATAACCAAGAAATTCGAATTTTATAAGTGGAATTACGAAATTAGGTCCTTTTTCAAATGAGTACTGTGGATCTAACGTCCCCAGCACACCTCTTTTTTTAATAATGTACTTTCGTGGGGTCGACTTTCATCTTGACTTTTGTTCGCCGCTCTCAGAGAGGCCACCTTGTGGAACGGAGATCAGCTTGTTTTTGACCTTTCTGTTTTGGTGTGGCTGCCAGTAAGTTAAAGGTATCAAGCAGAATGTCAAGGGGAAGATTTACTCCTGTCGGTGGGCGGCCTAGAGCTAACCGTTTGCGTATCTGATTCTGATGGCCTGACCATCTGTCGCCTCCTACCTCTACTTCGTACATGACATGGCCCACTCCTCTGACCACTCACGCTTCTGTCCATGGACCATGGGTTGCTCTGTAGTCACGGGCAAACACAGAACATCCCACTTCGTACGTGGACTGCTTTTCAGACTTTGTCTGTACTGGTGTTGATGCATTAGGCTGTGAATCGTTTTCAGTCTTTTTCCCATCAGGATTCCTGCTACGGACGTTTTCTTCAACACCGTCTCATTCGGTGTTGTCCGGTAAACGAACAAGAAATTTTGTAATGTGTCGGTTGGTGTCCCCTCCCCTTTCGATTTAACCAATGCTCTTCCAAACGTACCCAAAAATCTTTCCGCCTGCCCATTTGACTGCCGGTGGTATGGTGGTGAACGCAAGTGCTTGATGGCTAGCCGTTGACAGAAAGCTTGGGACTGGCTAGAGGCAAATTGCGATCCGCTGTCAGATACAATCACATCTGGCATGCCATTTCGGGAGAAAACTTCAGTGAGGAGCTGTGTTGTTGTAATTGTCGTGGGGGCATTACATGACTGATTTCTGGCCATTTTGAAAAGGCATCGACCACAACTAAATACATAGTACCATTAATTAGGCTCGCGAAGTCGACGTGTATCCTGGACCAAGGATGATCAGGTTGTGGCCATGAAACTGGTGAGACTTTGGCATCCACCTTCGCCGTTTGCTGACACCGAATGCATTTTCCAACCAACCCAGTGATATGTTGATCCATTAGTGGCCAGTATGCATAACTCCTGTCTATGGATTTCATTCTTCTAACCCCCGGATGACCAAGGTGGAACTGTTTCAGCAATTGTGCGCGAAAGGGCTCTGGCATAACGACTCTTTCTCCAAACACCAAGCAGCCGTTTATAATGCACTGTGAATCACGCATCTGATACGGCTGTTTCATGTCACCATCAAACTTCTTAGACGGCCAACCATTGGTGACATAGCTCATCACCGTCTTGATGATGTGGTCATTCCTGGAAGCGTTTCGTATGTCTGTTGCAGACACTGGAAATACCCGTATTGCGGTTGTCATACGATATTCCGCGTGGTCTTCCGCTGACAGAGATGCGATTACCATGTTTCCCCAACCGTCAATCGACCATTAATGAGTCGTGAAAAAGCATCTGCCTGACCAAGTTGTTGAGTGCGTCGGTATCGCATCTCGAAATCATGCCCCAAGAGTACCAAGGCCCATCGCTGAAGACGATTTGCAGAATGGGCTGGAATGCCAGATTTCGACCCGAATATTGCGAGCAGGGGCTTGTGATATGTGAGGAGCGTAAATCTCCTACCGTACAAACAGCAAATACAAGTGCAAGAGTCTCTTTTTTTATCTGACTGCATTTCTTTTCTGCAGGGATTAGTGTACGGATCGCATGCATAACAGCCTTTTCTGACGCATCTGGAAGCTGATGTGAAATAACAGCACCTAGGCCATACGCTGAGGCGTCTGTAGCTACGATGATCGGCATAAATGGATCGTAGTGCGTTAACAATTCCGAGCTAATTATGAACTTGTGTTTACAAAATACCGCATCACACTCTCCAGTCCAGTTTCATGTGCTGTTCTTCTTCAGCAGACGATTCAATGGGGCGCGAATATCATGCATCGAAGGGAAGACCGCTGCGTAATATGTAACAAGTTCCCATGAAGGAACGTAGTGCCGAGACATTGGTGGAAAAGGGCGTCCATTTGATAGTTCGAATGTTCTCAGGATCCAGTCTGCATCCGTCAACGTCAAAAATGGACCCCAAATAATTTACTGACTGCAATGAAAACTGGCATTCCTCTGGGTGTAACCGGAACCCATTGTCACTGATGCGTTGCAGCAGCAATGTTGTGCGTTCCTGTAGCTGCTCTAATGTCGTCACAACAACTAAGATTTTATCGAGATAAACCGCGACTCCCGAGATAGTATGGCATCCATCAGTTGCAGGAAGTTAGATGGGGCAGTCTTGACTCCAAAAGACAGATGGTTACACTGAAACAACTCACGATGAGTATTGATAGTAAACAGCTCTCTTGATGCTTCATCTACTTCCACTTGCAAGTAAGCATCAGCTAGATCCAGTATTGCGAAAAATTTTCCCTCATCTAGCATAGTAAAGAGATATGCGGAACTGGAGGAGGATAATGATGCTGTTTCAGACCTGTAGAAAAGTCAGCACACATACATATCCTGCTGTTGGCCTTCTTGATAACAACTATAAGTGCTGCCCAAGCAGAGTAAAAAGGGCTATTAACTGCTTGTTGTTGAAAGCGATTCAATTCTTCATCTACTGTTGGTAATGTTGCGTAAGACACAAGTCTTTTTGGGCGGAAAACAGGCTTAACCCCAGGTTTCAACCAAAACGTTGCTTTCAAGGCAAAAGGCCGACCCGATCCAGGTTGGAAAATAGATGAAAACGGCTACAATTAAAGGCAACTCAAATTCGTAAATGTGCCCTTCAGCTTAGCAAACAATCAGAATGAGGCGGGAATTATTACACCCGCCATCTTTGTAAGCGATGGCGGTTGGCTTTCTTCGTTCTGTGCTTTTTTCAGCTATTTCTTTTGTGTAGCTATGTAATTGAATGTCTCAGTGTGCTAAAAATGCCGCAGTTAGTGTAATGTTCTATATGTTGGTGTGAAGTTTATTTCGAATCAGCGATGTTTCCTGGGTTTTTGCTGCTTCTACTCAAGTCAATGTATTTCTTCGGGCAATCTGGCTAGTCTTGTGTTATAAAATGCCGGCCAGCTTTCTTCGTTCTGTGTTTTTTCCGCTATTTCTTTTGTGTGGCTACAGAATTTGATGTTTCAGTGTGCTAAAATCCAGAAGTTAGTGTAATACTCTGAACGTTGGAGCAAAATTTTTCCTGATTTTGCTTTGTTTTCTGAGTTTTGCCTGCTGCCGATGAAGTCACTGTATTTATTCAGCTAAGCTGACTAGTACTAACATAAGACCTTGCGGTTTTAAACGACAATCGGTTATGTTTTACCTTGTTTTCTAGATATCCGGAGCCGAAGTTCGTTTTTATTTAGCTAAAATAATTGTCGCTGCCGCCTGTGACTCTAACTGTTCGCATGTTCGTTCCTAACTGTCCTTTATGATGTTATCGGCAAAATGAAAGGAAACAATCTGCGTTTTTTAATTTTCTTCAGTAGTATGGACAACACTATCCCACCAACGAGTCAAACTAATACAGAGTGCCCAGCAGTAGGGTATATCGGTACTGATTTCGAAAGGACCCAGACTTCCGACAACTATAGATGAAGTCACAGATGCTACCAATCTATTGCAGAGGGTTTGTTATGAAAAGTATGCCATATAGCGGTAATCGAAGGATTGTACTCATTACTCAGTGCGTTGAAGCAAGCTTGACATTGAAAAGACGGAAATCTGCTACCAGTGTCTAGTGCATGTTTGCTGTTTTGGCCATAAAAGGAAGCCGAAGGGTCATGATCAGGGAGTAAAAAGGCAATTAACTGTTATTAAGCTCACTTTTTTATAGATCATATTTCACCACTCGCAAATTTGTGTTTTTTTACGGTATGATGTCAACTGGTACCTAATATGTTCACCCTCACGATGAAAAGTACCTGCAAATTTTCACCTTCATATTCGAATTATTTTTGGACAACTGTCTTACAGTCTGAGTGCTTCGTACGCCCCGAGAAACTCTATTTCTACAACATTCGTAGTTCCAGTATAACTTTCTCACGCAGTTAGTTCAAATTAGACACTAGTCTTTCTAAATAAGCCTGTTAAGCTAATATCCATATTCTGTATTTCAGTTAATAGATGAAGACATGTACCACGTCCATCTACTGTATACTGCCATTTTACTCCAATTGTAACTTATATCTTACTTTTGAATAATAAAATTACTATATGCTGCAAATACAGACTTATTTGTTTTGATGGAGGTAGGGGGGTTCATGGGATTTTCAGCAGGACCGTATTAATATTCTCACTAAACAGCTAAGCGAGTGCGTAAACCAGTGTAAGGTACCATACAAGGTGCATTTGAGTTACTAGTGTTCCATTAGTGCGGGTAGGGGCATTGCTTGCTTGTCATATGGCATTTGAATTAGAAGCTATAAGAAGCAGGTACGGTTAGGGTGTGTGACGCGTGTCCATCCATCAGCTGGCGTGACAACCCATGGTGGTTAGAATAAGCTATGAGAGGACCAGAGTCTGTAGGTCTCCCAAGAAAATGACGAAGATATGCACCAAATGACCTTATGAAGAGCGCCTCCAACCACTTAACCTCTACTCATTAGAGTATAGACGTCTTAGAGGTGACCTAATGGCTTACAATAACCTTAACACTTCTGGACATCCCCTAGAACACCTACTTAAGCTTAGTCCCAGAAACTAGAGACACAATATAGCAGAACGGACTGTAGACGCAACTTCTACTCCTTAAGAGTTGTCAAAAGCTGGAATTCGCTGCCGGCCGAGCTAGTCCAAGCGACTTCTCAGGAGTCCTTCAAGAGGCAACTTGACCTATCCTTAAGGACCAAGGACAGCATCACATCATGATTTACCAATTTCTTTTCCTCTTTTATTGTTAACATACCTAGGTTCCTGCCTGGAGGATTTGGTGATCCCCTGCTACTAGACACGGAAGCCTGCTAAGCGAAGGCTTCTTCCATTCCGTCCACAACCATTTGAACACATGAACTAGGTGCTGAGAGGCTCGCTTATCACAAGTTTCTTGCAACGAATAAGTAGATAAAACAAAGTAGCATTAGATTCAAAGATTTATTCAAGAACTTTCATTAAGAATCGAATATCAAACAAAGGTTTAAACCAAGTTCCCGTTTAAAAGTTGTATTGGTAATGTTAAGCTGCAGTTTCTGTTGTTTTTTTCCAAACGAAAGAGTAAAAGAAGTCAAAGAAATACTGGGAGTAGTTGTGAGACTAAAATGGACGTGAAAGTAACCTTGTGTCGCGATGTCGTAGAGCTTACCAAGGTCTTTCTCGTTGACAGAGGATGACAAAAAACGATGAGTTAAAGCACCTGAAGTTTAAATAATAGATATAGGTTACTTCGTATGCAGCTGTAAAACGTGCATTTATGTAGTGCTCGTTTTGAAGAGGTGCCAAGTAACGTGAATTTACTGGCAACCTCCGGTGTCAGCAGATGCGACAGAACAAAACGCATGGACGTTTTTGGATCGTCACCTGATAACCTAGTGACCATTGCCATCTGTAATAGTAACAAATTATTAAATTCATGTCAATGACTTACAAATCTGTCCCTGGTTTCTTTCTGCGACAAACCAGTATCTAGCATCTGTAGTTCCTCTTCAGATGACAAAGGGAACTGCTGACTCGACAGTCCGCAATCGAATTCATGCGGTCTTTCGCGCTCATTAAACTTTGAAAGCAATTGGTTTACATTAGCATTCAAGTCTATAATGGCGGACGATATGTTGTTAATCGTTTTCGTCAAGTCATTGATAGCTGACGACATTTTCAGCACCACAGTATACAACCTATCATAATTGAAAAAGGTCACAAGATGATGCAGGTTACTTACTGGTCCACTACAGCGCCACCAAAATGCTTACATTCCGATGTGGATGGTGATGTCTCTAATTGTGTCGAACTAAATCGTGAATATCTGAATAGTAATTAAACGTACTTGGCGATTGGCGATATCAATTTGTCGAAAACACGGAATTTGGGATATTGTACGCGGTTATTCCCAGCCTGCATCTCAGCCACATCCATGTCGACTGAATTGTAAAGAAAATCTTCTTTACGCTTCATTACACCTCTAGGAAATGTAAGTAAGATTATTGTACAGACCTTTTTGGCTTCTCAGTGTTAAGTGGCAAAGTGTTTTCATCCGTTGAGGTGTTTTTCCGTTGACATTCCAGTATCTGTAGGGCAACTAACAGATTTTTTGCCGACTGCAGAGAATCTATAGTGAATTATACTTTCTGTGTATGTCACCTACCTAATTCGTGAATCACTTTACATTTCATGAGTGACAAATTGTCATTCGGTTGGTCGCACTTCTGCAGGTGTATATCGACCAGCTCGTTCGGAAGAAGGCAAAGGTCATTGCCAACTATCCAGTCCTTTGATGCTATCATAAGTTGTCTTTTTTAGGACGTCAACAATAACGTATTTCTTGTTGGTGGGCTGAAAAGAACATAAGACGTAAGTAAATGATTTATCATCATTACTTAAACACTAATGAAACAAAATGCATTTACAATAAAGTATGCAACAATGGGATTACAACTATATAATTGATGGTTATACATTTACAATCAATGTCCTGAACCGATACCCAGGTGTATTCGTGGCTAACTACGGAGCACATAAAGATTCCAATATCGCTAGATGGGAAAGCATCATCAAAGTAATTGCGTGGGTCAGTGAAAGTCCTAAATTTTAGTAGTCCATCCTCCTTTATATCAGCGACTAAACCTGGCTGGCCGTTCACTATTACTACATTATCAGACTGACATGAAGTGATTTTACTGTTGTTAAACAGTATACTGCTTTCATACTGAAGACAACAGGCAGTTCAAAATGGTTCAAATGGTTGTGGACGGAATAGAAGAAGCTTTCGCTTAACAGGCTTCCGTGTCTAGTAGCAGGGGATCACCAAATCCTCCAGGCAGGAACCTAGGTATGTTAACAATAAAAGAGGAAAAGAAATTGGTAAATCATGATATGATGCTGTCCTTGGTCCTTAAGGATAGGTCAAGTTGCCTCTTGAAGGACTCCTGAGAAGTCGCTTGGACTAGCTCGGCCGGCAGCGAATTCCAGCTTTTGACAACTCTTAAGGAGTAGAAGTTGTGTCTACATTCCGTCTTGCTATGTCGTGTTTCCAGTTTCTGGGTGTTACCCCTTAGGTTATTATTCGAACTAAGCTTAAGTAGGTGTTTAAGAGGATGTCCAGAAGTGTTAAGAATACTATAAGCCATTAGTAAATCACCTCTAAGACGCCTATATTCTGGTGGGTAAAGGTCTAGTGAACGGAGGCGTTCTTCGTAAGGCTTAGATTTGAGTCCTCGAACTGATTTCGTGGCGATCGCCGTTGGATACGCTCCAAAGTGACCTTGTCCTTCTGGAGTGAGGGAGGGAGTACTATGTTTCCGTACTCTAAATGGAGACGGATGAAACTATTGAAGATTGTATGGAAAGTTCGTCCGTCAAACTGTCCAAAAATGCGCTTCAACGTTACCAGTACAAGGTTTGCTCGGAAGGCATTTTTGTCACAGTTAGCGTAAGACTTTAAGTCATGGGGCACCAGGACTCCTAAATCTTTTTCGACTTGGGAATCAGGATGTGTGTGAAACCGAGACGGATAGAGCGGGATAGTCCTTCCAGCATACGACTATCGTACTCGGTGTCGGCAGTTGGCTTCCTGTAAATGACTCCGACTAGACACCTGGAAGTACTAGACAATCTTACAGAGCACCATATGGATTCCTCAAGATTGTTAAACTCGAGGTTGTGAACCTGGTGCACCTCCAAGCAAGAGCTTATGTATATGGCTACTCCGCCCCCAATTCCTGTTTTTCTGTCGTTGCGGAACAAAGTCATCCCAGGCAATGCTAACTCTTGGTCCGAGAACTGAGAAGATATCCAGGTCTCAGATATTCCTATCAGATGAGCCTTATTAGCGTTGCTAAGTTCACGTAGTTCATCCAGTTTGTTTGGTAGACTCGCGGCGTTCATATATAAGCAGTTTATGCTTTCAATTTGGAACGCGTGAGCTTCGTCCCGTTTTTCTGTATGAACCTTATGTGAATGGACAGGTAGCCCACCTATGTGAGGTTTGCCGAGGTGGTAGGCCCTGTCCTTTACACGTTTTTTTATCGTTTAGACAGTCCACAAGTGGAATGGTCAGCTCCAACTTGCCTTTGTTCTTGATCCTAACTTCGTATGGCCCATCCGGGTGCATGTGGATTCCAGGTGGCAATCGACGTCTATTAGCACGAAATGCTTCCAGAACTGCAGCCGCCATGTGGGAAGATGGGAAGGTTATCTTCATTAGACGGGGTCTAAGACCACCGTCCTTCTTGGCTAGTCTCGTCACATGCTGAGTCAGTATGTGTTTGAGCCTCAAGGACTGTTTGATGAATTCCCATTCCCTGATGTCAGAATTTGATTGAGTAGGGTCTGCATTTTCCGGTATACCTTGGACAACTATGTTTCTTCCGCGGAAAAACTTCTCGCGAGATTCTTTAGGGACGTTTCGTATGATACTGCGCTCAGAGTACGCTATGTCGGGCAATATTCTTACGTTACCATCTGATTTCAGCAAGTGGCTTGCTAGCAAGAGGTCCTCTACGTCGGTAGCATTCTTAAGTGTTACTCAGAGAAGCCTCGGGTGATTTAGATGCTTAGAATCCTTTCCTCGAGTGAGCCGGGTGACCGTCAAAGGCTCTATTCTAGGAAGTTCGAGCTTCTTGTTCAATTCACCCCAGAGCATCCTGTCGTTTTTGTCCTTCAGACTGAGAGGAAGGTCAGGATTGTCAACGAGGTTCATGATAATGAGAGAATCGTCACGAACTGTTGTTAATTTACCAGGTTTCACGATGGGTTCAGGTTTAATAACTTGTTGTTTGGAGGTCAGTGTGCGTTTATGAATCTTGGGCTCTTTATTGACCGGACGAACAGTCTTGGGGGTAGACTGTACGACTAAATCACCAGTTATTTTCCGTGCGGCAACACTTGGGTTGCTCGGCTTAGGCGGTGATGCCTGGTTCTTTTGGGCTCTCTTAACGTGGGTCGAATCACCTGCAGGGTTTTTGGGAACCACTGTTGTGTTCGGGGACCCTGAGCTGGGAGACCCGAGTTTGCCTAGGTAGTCTAGTACCGTCGACGTAATGATGGTGCTGAGCCTCGACACGTCGTCGTTAGTGTTGATGGATGCTCCATCGATGGAATACCTATCGACATCCCTGTTTTTGAGTCCGTTGCACGCTCTTGTTTGTATATCAGTTTTTTTACTATCGTTTTCCAAGTTAACTGACAACTTGTTCCGAAGACCTGTCAGTAGGACAATGATGTTACTCAGCAAGACTACGGAGTCTGTGTTGCACGTGACACATACCCACTTTTGGTCTGACTTGCTGAGTCTGTTGTAAGCAGTTGCTGTCAGATTTGTGCATGCTTCGTGGAACCAATCTTTGCAGTTGTCGCACTGCATGCCAGTTGTGACAGCAAAACGGCATCCCGGACGTTTGCATGAGTTTTTCATGACGGTGTGGAAGCAAACTATGTTATAGATGCTTGCAAGAGCCTAAGACCTTTTAGAAAAACACTAAAAAGCACACTGAAAACGGACAAAAATGGACAAAACGAGTGATATAAACTGAAACTAGTCTATACGTGAAAAACAAAAAAAACGAATAGTAAGCTGAGACAAAACCACAGGTAACTATTAAATATAGTGAAACTCAAAAAAGAAGTAATCTACCGAACGTATAGCTCAGGATAGATTCTTTAGAACTGAAATGGTACTTTTGTTGCGTAAGAACACAGCAAAAGCTTGATAAATGCAAATCACGTTAGGACTAAACTTGTAACGGGATTAAAATCATCATGTATGATGTTGTTAATAGATTTTGTTTTCTTTCTATTGCAGGGCAAGCAAGAATAAACGCTTTGGAAGAAGAAGAGCAAGCCCTGCATGCACTAAACTTACAGGATGATTCATAAGACCGTTTTGTAAACTAGCCCTCTTTCTGTACAGCCCCCGCGAATTTTAATTTTAAAAATAAACGTCCATTGTCCTCCATTTCTCGTTCTCTCTGTGGTGTAGAGTGTTCAGTTAACATTGTGTGTGTTGTGGCTTTAGGTCTTTCCATCTTCCAGTGGCTGCTGATTACACGTGTTACAACTGGTGTCGGAGGTGAGATGGAAAAACGCGATGAGAACCTAGACGAACCCCCTTTGATTCCAATCAGGGCTACTTCCAGTTCAACTCCACATCAACCACCACTGCTCGAAACATCATCAGATTACTCCGTTTGGAAGTTTAAAGTCACAGCGTACCTGCAGAGAGTTCCATTGTCCGAGCATTTCAACTACCTTGTTTCCTATCTGAGCGATGAAGCAGTACGCAGGGCTATAGCAAACGGTTTTGCGGCCAGTAACACGCTCCCACAAAACTGGAGGATTTTAGACGACTGTTTTTCCCTGCCTGTAGACACCCAACAGATGACAATGCAGTTTTTGTCTCGCCACCAGAAACCTCAGGAAAACCCCATCGACTATTTTCACTCATTACAGCAGCTAGCAACCCAGGCATTCCCTAGCCTGGACATCTTGGGGCGAGAAGAAATTACACGCTCCCGTTTTATTGAAGGACTGCTGCCAGGTGCACTGCGAGAACATCTACTTCGAGTGCCACCGGCTGACACAGCCGACTTGAAACGAACGGCACTTCGGTTGTTGACTGCTGAAAGACTGTCAGTTCCATTGGCGACCTATCGACCAACCGTGATGACTATCGATGAAGCCACCGAACCTAATCGACAAGATAGCTTTCAAAGCGCCGCGGCTGTTAGAGGGTTCCCTGACCAGAATAGTAGACGAGGGCAGCCGACCCCCACATGGAACGGACGGTCGTCAAGGGACAACTATCGAGGCCAGCAAACAGAATGCTTCTATTGCAGACGTTTCGGCAAAAATGCCAAGAAATGCGGGCATAACCGCGTGAAAAACAGAGGTAAGCAGTGTCGTTTACATATATCGTCTTGCTATGTTAAACATTTGTGCCCTGTTACTATTAAGGGTAGTGTGCAAAGTACTGAGATTAATATACTATTAGATACAGGAGCTTCAGTATCCTTGATTAAGGAAGACCTCTTGCAGAAACTTAACCCCAGCACTCAGCGGAAACAACGCTCTTCTACCTTAATTACCGCGAGCGGAGAACCCTTGAAAGCGTGTTCTAAGATAGGGTTAGAGCTGACGATTGACGAGAAGCCTTTTCAACATGAATTCTGGGTTTGCCCCACACTGACTTGGGACATGATTCTCGGGGTCGACTTCATGTTAAAATACCAGGTCTCTATACACATGAATAAGTCAGAAGCGAATATTGGTGGAGTTGTCGTACAAATAC